CCCATAGCTTCTCTGAGTTACTCAAGCCCCTTCGCCACGACAAGGCAGCAATACGTGAAGGGGATCTTAGCACCACACTGTATCAAAACACACTGATCAATATACCTACCTGCATGCCTCCAGCTTCTATCCTAAACATACCACTACACCTACTGCTTACAGCCAAGCCTACTGGTACAATTGTATCTTCTCAGACCCACAAAATAAAGACTCCAAACTCAAGGATCTCCAAATCACATTTCTCAGACTACAATACCCATCCAATATGGTTAAAGAACAAACTAATCAGGCAAGGCCAATACCCAGAAACAACCTACACTTAGAAGATAAAATGACCAACCACTCATTTCTCAAACTACAATACCTATCCAATATGGTTCAAGAACAAATTAATCAGGCAAGGCCAATACCCAGAAGCAACCTACTGCAAGATACACTTAGAAGATAAAATGACCAACCACTAGTCATCACTTTCAGTCCACAACTGAGGCCACTCTCACACATCATAAATTATCTCTAACCCATCCTTGAAAAGAATACTTCACCCTCCCAACTACAATACCTATCCAATATGGTTCAAGAACAAATTAATCAGGCAAGGCCAATACCCAGAAGCAACCTACTGCAAGATACACTTAGAAGATAAAATGACCAACCACTAGTCATCACTTTCAGTCCACAACTGAGGCCACTCTCACACATCATAAATTATCTCCAACACATCCTTGAAAAGAATACTTCACCCTCCCAAGCAACTGGTGGCAGGCCTATACTTGCTTACAGACAACATCAAGGGCACTTCTACTTGTTTCTCTATTAATGTGATCTATGTCATCTTTTGCCAACAATGCCCCTCTGCACACTACAAAGAACAGGACAACCTCTACACAAAATAATTAATGGACTTAAACCAGACATCATAAATCACAATACATAGAAATCTATCTCAAATCACTTCAGTCTACCAGGACAGTCTTCACAACATATGAAAGTTGCTATTCTGGAGAACAAGTATCCAGAGGGAAACAGCTGAGACCAAATATATACGTACACATGCAGAACACCCATCTCCATAGATTATTAGCCAAGATTACTCAAGCCACTATCAAATATGATAATTATGTTATTATCTACTGTTATTTTCCTTTTACAACTAATCAGACCCACTTTTTCAGAACAAGCCTCAAAGGTAAAGTCTGTTATTCTTTACATTACCACATGTTGTGCCTGCTATGGTTTTTCCTTTAATCACTGTTGCTGTTTACAGAACCAAGTTTCAAAAGAATTGGACACCAAACAAGGGTCTTGATCATTACTAGGTGTGCAATGCAACCAAACATCACTGTTCCTTTATCTTAGGTTCTTGCATGAACATTTTACCATGTAGTCTCTATATTCTGACTCTTATTTCTGACAAAGTGGACATGTTCCACAAATGCTTCCATTGAAAATAGCAGTTAGTCTTTAAAATGCTACATCTTTTTTCTTTTCTTTTTTGTTTGTTTTGTTTTGTTTTTCTTGCTAAAATGCATGCACAGAGTAATGTGGCTACAACTTTGAAAATTATTACTATGCTGAAGAAAGTCCCCATTGAGCCTGCTCTAGTTTGATTTATTGTGCTAAGCAACAGGATTCTTTGACCCAGAGACAAGCAGGTTGGAACATCTCCAGGGACAAGTTGGCTTCGACCTATATGCCTTTATTTGGGTACAGAGTGAGTCAGAGGGCTTCTGCACAGCCTATGACCTTTAACATACAATTCATCTTAGCTGAACTTCTCAAGAGCCCACAACAATAACCTTATGTTTCGAAGGCTTGATTTTTCGTCACATTTATGCATATGCTGCTTCTCCATACGATAAACCAATCAGTAACCTTCTTGTTTCAATTAACATCACAGAGGCTTGGGACAAAAAAAAATCTCAAATTTCGAGAGAAACCCCCCAAAAAACTTTTAAAAAATCAGCTATGCTTCAAAGAAAATTCTAAATGTTATTTATTTGTTTGTTTGTTTGTTTGTTTGTTTGTTTGTTTAATATTCCACCCATCTGGTCTATATGACCACTCTAGGTGGCTTTAATGGTACATTCCCTTCAGCAAGAGTTTTAAGTTTCAGTGACTGATCAATGTATGCAAGCAACTTAACAATGTGATCCTATGCGTGATAACTCAGAAGAAAACAGCATGGAGTTCAGCAAGGCTCAGTCCCAGGCAATGGACTTCACTAAACTCAGTCTGGATTACATTTGAGAAAACATTTAAATTGCAACAGATTGTTGTGTAAGATTGTTCTGTTGTATAAAATTGTTCTATAAATCAAAATTTCTGGAAGCAATTAACACAGGTCTCACTCTCCATTGATGTTCATTAAACAAATGTAGTTTAAACATCATCCACAATACATCACAGAATGAGGCTTCAGGTAATGAACATCACCAGAACAGGAAAGGAAGCCACATCAAAATGTTCTTTCTCCTCCTCCTTCACTCACCCTATTCTCAAGTATCTGCTCATCCTTCAGAGTGGAACCAGTGTACACAGAACAACCACTGAAAATATCCCCTTTCCCTATTCTGATGGTAAAGATATATGATCTGCTTACTAACCAATAAGCCCACTGCATCATGCACTGCAAATAAAATTTAACCATCACAAGGAAATCAAAATAGGGAGATCTCCACCACAGAAATGAAGTTTGGTGTTCTTGCGGAACCCCACAGTACTTGATAAACATTGTAGTTTTATTTTATTAAACTTACAGCTTGATACCATCTTTTTATTTTACTCAGAAATAAATCCTCCTGGAGTATATTTTGTTATCTCTATACTGTACTGGTTTCTAAATCCCTGAAGTAAGTTTTCTAACCCTGTAAGATGTTTTCTAGCCAGGCAAAATTCTTCCAAAAAACTATTCTTCTGTAAACACGTTCAAAACGGCATCCCTCCTTTAGCTCAAATTTCTTATATTTTTTGTGCTCTTTCTTGCTCTCAGCCACACAAGAGTGGAAGAAAAGTTGTAACAGGAAGAAGCCAAAGGTAAAAAGGTCGTAAATGTACTGTTTCCATTCATGAAGTGTTAGCAAACAGCCGTTTTTTAAAAAAGTTTTCTTCCTCCAGCTATCTGAGCTAGAAACGTCATTCTTTATGAAATAGCAGACGTGTTTTGACATACTATCTTGGAATAAACCAGGATGAACCTGTAAATGAGTTTTCTGATTTGTTTGTTCCAATCCTAGGAACCATAATTTCCCAGTCTGAACATGGCAGGAATCTATTTTTAATTAATAGTAGTAGTACTGAAGAATTGCACACAAAAAAGAGAAAATAAACAAAGCACATGGGTTGGGATATGTACATCCAAACCAAGGTTCCTCAGTTTTGAATGGCCTGCCTGTGAATTCCAGAGGAGAAGGGAACAGGGATAAATTCTTGCCTATTCCCCAAAATCAAGACTGAAGAATTTATTTCCCGTTGCTGCAAAGAAACAATACATTATTTTATTGTATAAGGGTCAATTAATAGTGCACAATTAATTGACACCCTGAAACAAACCTGCTTTTGAACAAAATCCATTATGTTCTTGAAGTCCAAGTCATCGTAATAATTCTTAATTCCCCTTCGGATGTTCTCATTTAGAAAGTCAATTGTCTAAGGGGAAAGAGAGAGTAAATATACATGCATCATGAAAGAAAAACAAATTAGATTACATTTTTACAATCAAACCCAGCACCAATAGTGCAATACTCCTCTTTACCTAGACACACTATTGGAATCTGAACTGAGGGAGTGTTTAAAAAGCTGTTTCTTTCTAGGGCTCAGCTTGCCATTAAGCTGCAATGATAATTTTGCAGTTTCTTTTACAATCTAATTTTCCTTTCTATTTACACCTAAGAGAAAGAATGAAATAGTAGTAGTAGTAGTAGTAGCAGCAGTAATAGTAATAGTAATAGTAATAGTAATAGTAATAGTTATAGTTATAGTTATAGTTATAGTTATAGTGAGGGATAGTTATACAACCAAAATTACCTGGAAGAATGATATGTGTACAGACAACTACAATTTAAACAACTGATTACTTATTCTGCATGTAATGGTGTATAAAGAGACCACTTTACTACATTCACTGTTCACAAGCAAGCAATTTTCCTGTAAGAACTGAGGGTGGTTCAGGAACAAGATTAGTAAACCAGGGAAAATCTATTTCAACCCTTGTGACGAAAAAGAGACCTGCCCGGTCAGCTCAAATTACAAACCTACTCATACACCTCATCTTCCTGTCAGGTCAGTAAAATAATGGCCCAGAATGTCTTGCCAGTGCTGGCAAGAGGCCTGCAGAGGACTGAATGTAAAATGAGAGCTTTGGTGGTAACATCTCCACCTTTACCCTACAAGCCTAGATAACAGACAGTCTCACTGTAACAAACACTGAACACTGGAGAGCGCACCATGTAGTAGCATTCCAATATCTTGGTAGGCTTCCAACTCAGTAATCTCTCCCTATGAACTGGCACTAGGGCAAGTTATTTGTGCACTGTGTTCTCACCACTCAGAATATATTGTTTCTACTCAGAAGAAGTTGTACCATCTCATATCCTATCTCTAATTTTCTCCTCCCAGTTATCAAGATTTAGTACCTCAAGGGTGCAATCCTATAGTCGCTATCCTGGGATTATGTCACCTCGAACAAATGGGATCTATCAATACCATAACAAGCTGATTTGATGTCCAAGATGAAAATATGAAAATACACCTTCCTATAATTTCTCTAAAGTCACAAAGCAACCAGTGTTCTTAAAAAACATGAAGATAAGGAGGGAACAAGCAGCACAAATAAGTTCACAGTACCAGTACTTGGAAGCAACAACAAGTTGTACCAGCCGACAGGTAAGCATAAACATCTCCCTTGCTAATTTATTGCCTTCTGTGTATCTAAAGTGACCATGTAGGGAGGGGCTAGCTACAGAAATGTTCCTTCTTCACCATGGCATGGTGTGCTCAGGAGAGGTGATGCATTATCTTTTACCATGTTAGACAATCGCTGTGGACCCAATGAGCAGCTGCCAGTGAGTCAATGTGCCTATTAGCTGAAGTAAATCTCGGAACAAGGTCTTCGTGTATTATACCATAGAGAACATATTAATTTTTCCATACTAAAAATTTCCATGCTGAAATCTGTTGCACAGTTGTGCAAACAGCATAACTTTCAGAGACAAATTGCCGTTAAGGTTAAGAAATCTCCGAACACCTTATCTGTTGCATGCCAAGACATGTGACTCTGTAAACAACAAATAATATCTGTGGAGATTTATGGGCTTGTGGCAATTCTCATCCAAACTTCCACTATTTACTGTGCAACAAGATTTCAGCCAGAATATACTTTTTTATTCATTATATTACATGATCTTTGGTGCCCCCCAAAATTAAAAAAAACAAATATATCTCAGCTAATAAGCTCTCCTGTGCAATACCCCAAGAACCATAGTTGATTTATATTTTTAGAAGAACCAGTTGTTAAGAATTTCACATGAAATTTTAGACATGCTACTGAGGACACAAATGAATAGTGGTGTGACTATAGAATCGTTTGATCCTGATCTTTACATTCTCACTATCTTTTCATTGCACGGTTTTAGGCTTCACTATCTTTTCACAGCACCAAAGACACACTAAGGTTTTAGGCTATCAGCATATTTTTTAAAAGAATAAATTTTATCAGTTACAGATCAACTAGCATAAGAGAGTCTATAATATTTAAACAGAAAAAATCACACACAAAGTGCCAACAATAAAATAAGATTAGAACAGGTATCAAAGCTGAGCAATGTTTCAAATTAAATTTTATCAAAAGATATCACAGGTTTCAAAGTAAATTCTTGATGAACAATGAAATACTATAAATGGAAGTCACTTCTGTGATACAGAGAAAATTTCATTTATAGAAGATTATGCAATATGCAGCAGTTCTGTGATAAGACCGGTAAAATGATATAGAAGGTGTGATATTATATACTGAACATAACTTGTAAAGAAACTCATATTTGATATTAAAGAATCACAATTTTTTTTAAAAAAAGGATCATACTGTCAAAAGCAGAAGTATTTAAATTTGTGTTTCTGGAACACAAGTCCCCAACACCCAAGGCAGCATGATCGCAGGTTATGTTTCCCAGGGAATTCTGGAAATTGCACTCCAAAATCACAAATAGACTCTAATAAAAAGTCACAAATATATACTAGTCTTTTCTTAAGTTGAAAACATAGGTTTCAGTACCCTGCACAGGTATGTGAATAATAATTACTACCAAATAAATTCTACAAAATAGACTTTTTTCCTCTAGTCATCTAAGATTTGAATTTGTTCCAGCCTTCCCCTTTACTGGACCCTTCTTCTTTTCCACTGCCATAATTATTTGTAGTTTTATTTTCATTCAGGTAAGTACCGGCCACAATTTTTTTCATGCTAAATCTATCAGGAAGGCTCTTTTAAGTTAGGTGTGTTTTCAAAACCTTCTTACCTGGTTTCTGAACAGTAAGGCTATAACTCCTCCTGTTAGCTCAATGAGCAAACAAATTCCCAAGATGTACATGAACTGCAAAACAATTTTAAAACATTTACATCAGCTTGGAAAATCCAAATCCTTTAACATTTAAATCATGGATTATTTACTTCCAATTCACTCAGGGCTCTAGATGAGGCAGTGTCATCTGAGTACATATAATACAAGAAAAACAAACTTTTGTGTCCTATGTTGGTTTTGTCTCCAGTCTATTAAGACAGATTTGGCACAGGAGAAGAAACTGGGAGGATAAGTTCAGATGTATAGCTACAGTTAGTCTCAATCTCTTCTCCAGATGTTCTGCAACTCCTGCAGTTTATACCACATATGAAACACTTCTGTTTCAGAATCTAAAAATGCAGTGCCAACTTGTAAGATGGTTTGCTAGAAAGTGATTTCGGGTGTAGCCCTGGGAAGTGGGGTGTGCTTTCTGCTGTTGACATACAACATCTAAGGCAGCCCTGGAGGCATAGAGCAACACAATCAGTAGCAAGCAACTGCATCATTGCTGAGTGGATGGCTGCTACAACCAATGGGAGAACCTCTACTACTTAGCAACTTGGTGACCAGGTGGAGTTGGCCTCGCAGCCCATGTCTCCAGCTACTGCATGAAGCTACTAGTGAGCCACCCCATCCTTAGTATCATGCCAGTGTCCAGCAGTTATACCTAGCAAACTGCCTCACGATAAAGAGGTGGGGGGATGAGCGGACTATTTTCTTATGTAAAACTTCAAAATTTCTGCTAAGCACCTTCTCCTTACAAATAATTTTTTTAAAGTTGCCATGTAATAATAAATTTCTTATTTTACATGACCATAGTTTCTGATATACAGTATGTGATGAGCCTTATGCCGGCAGTTGTAACAATGGAAACATGCTAGTCCCTCCCTCTCCAGTATTGTTCTTCATATACAGAAAGTGAGAGTGTGAAGAATGAGTCTCCTCTACAGATGGAGGTTCTCTGCCTGAATCCTGATATTTTTCAGATTCTGGATTGTGCAGAGAGCCTACATGAGTAACAGAAGCTCTCTGTGTAACTCTCCATGTCACTTCCCAGTGTCATACTCCCACTTGCATGCATTATGAAGCTCTGAACATGGCTATACGGTGTAAAGATGTACAGAACTGGCCTGTCCCCATCCTTGGTCCGCAGGCCTAGCTCTGAAGCAAACAAACTGTCTCATCAATAGCCTGAGAATCAACTTTTCATGGGAGGTGCATCTGTGTTATTTCTGTTGCTTGCACTCAAACTCATTCTGGCTGGTTCTTAATTAGAAAGCTGCCTTTCTTAGGGGAGTGTACTTCTGTGCTCTATCATTAGAGTATGTACAGTCTGTTACTCCACTGGGTAGCTCTGCAGTGTTTGTGCTCTGTGCGTGCTTTCCATTTCTGACTATTGCTCAAACAAAGGCCCTTATGCTTGTGTTATTATGTAAGTATGTGAGCATGTAACTTCGATTTGTCAGCTTTTAAAATTTCATCTGCTATATGTCCGGACTCTGTTTCTAACTGCATTTTTAAATTTGGTATAACTGGCTTTTCTTACAATTTGGCTTTCCATTTCTCTCTTAATAAAATATAAACATCTCTCCATGAGCTGTGTGGTTTACTGTGCCTGCTTTGGGAAATATGGTGTTAAATCCTGCCTAGCTCTGGGGACTTCCTACCACTTTTTCTGTGTCTACTTGGGAATCAAGAGGAAAGGCATTCTGCTTTCAGGGCTGTGTTTCTTAATGGATTGCAAGAAAGCCCTGTAAGACTTGGGACTCCTTTAGATTGAGTTGGAGGATGAGAGAAAGAGGTTGGCAAGCTGAGGTACCAGATTATTGCAGCCATGGGGTTCGTTAACTTTGGCTGTCTTTGTTGATGGTGCCAGATCTAAAAGCCAGAGGATGCCATGTGATCATCACTCTTTGGAAGGCAGAACCAAATGGGCTCCAGCTGGATCTTTCCTGTTGACACACTTAGGCCCAGTTAAGGTCTTATACTTAAAATGAGGGCTTAAACTGATGGAGAGAATGGAAAGCACATGTGTAAGTGCCACCTGCTGCATTCCCTCACTTCATGCAATGAACACAGAATTCTCAAGAAGCTCTTGCACATGCTCCCACTTTACAGCATTCCCATGATCAAGTATTCTGCCTTACCAGGATTCCTAGGTCTTTTTTTGTTGTTGTTCAGTCGTTTAGTCGTGTCTGACTCTTCGTGACCCCATGGACCAGAGCACGCCAGGCCCTCCTATCCTCCACCGCCTCCCGGAGTTGTGTCAAATTCATGTTGGTTGCTTCGATGACACGGTCCAACCATCTCATCCTCGGTCGTCCCCTTCTCCTCTTGCCTTCACACTTTCCCAACATCAAAGTCTTTTCCAAGGAGTCTTCTCTTCTCATGAGATGGCCAAAGTACTGGAGCCTCAGCTTCAGGATCTGTCCTTCCAATGAGCACTCGGGGTTGATTTCCTTTAGAATTGATAGGTTTGTTCTCCTTGCAGTCCATGGGGACTCTCAAGAGTCTCCTCCAGCACCACAATTCAAAGGCATCAATTCTTCGGCCGTCAGCTTTCTTTATGGTGCAGCTCTCACTTCCATACAACACTACAGGAAAAACCATAGCTTTGACTATTCGGACTTTTGTTGGCAAGGTGATGTCTCTGCTTTTTAAGATGCTGTCAAGGTTTGTCATTGCTTTCCTCCCAATAAATAGGTCTTATACAGTACTTAAAATGAGGGCTTAAACTGATGGCGAGAATGGAAGCACATGTGTAAATGCCACCTGCTGCATTCCCTCACCTCATGCAATGAACACAGAATTCTCAAGAGGCTCTTGCACATGCTCCCACTTTGCAGCATTCCCTTGATCAAGTATTCTGCCTTACCAGGATTCCCAAGTGCTCAAACCCTGAGGGAGGCCTAGAAATCTATGGGGCTGGAACTTCTCAGTGGTGGCCCCTACCTTGTGGAATGCATTGCCAGCGGAGGTGCACCAGGACCCTTATCTCCCAGCATTCGAAAAGCTAATAAAACTCACTTCTCTAGAGAAGGCTTCTGGGATCTCAGCCTCTCATAATAGATTTAGATTTATGTTATATTTTTTATTCTGTTGTTTGGCTGTCGCCACCATCGGAGACTATTTTCTGGGATTGTTTTTAGATTATATGTGGATGGATGTGGAGTTGGGTGCTTATGTTTTATGTGTATGCTTGCAAACCACCCAGAGTAGCGGGCATGCCACTAGATGGGCAGTACACAAATTTAATAAGTAAGTACCCTGTTTCCCCGAAAATAAGACCTAACCTGAAAATAAACCCTACTACGATTTTTCAGGATGCTCGTAATATAAGCCCTACCCCAAAAATAAGCCCTAGTTAAGTGAAACCCCGCCCTCCACCATTGTGCAGCAACCAGAAGATGACATGATTGTAAAATAAAACATCCCATGAAAATAAGCCCTAATGCGTTTTTGGAACAAAAATTAATATAAGACCCTGTCTTATTTTCAGAGAACCACGGTAAGTAAGTAAGTAAGTAAGTAAGTAAGTAAGTAAGTAAGTAAGTAAGTAAGTAAGTAAGTAAGTAAGTAAGTAAGTAAGTAAGTAAGTAAGTAAGTGTGTTTAGTCAAGCAAGCCTCCGTTTCATTCTGTCAGCAGCATGATGCCTCGGAACAGCATGTTAATGAACGCAAAATGCTACAGAACATTATGTTTTTGCATTTCTTGAATAAATGAGCTCATCCAAAATTTGCTGAATTTTAATATCGTGGCAATGAAATCCTCTTTCTGTATGTGTATTTTTGAAAAAGAGTCTGAGATAAATAGAATCTTCCTACAGCATCAGCACAATTTAGATAAGGTATGCCAACTTTGGAACATTTGGAAAACAGACTGTGTTTAAAAGTGAGGAGGATGAGACTCTTAAGAACAATGTGTGAGTTCTGTATTTTCATACGATGCATAAAATGACAGTTAAACATTTTGGTTCTTCTAATACAGGAGAGGTCATTTTGCTCACAGGAATTCCTTTATCTACATTTAATGGTATTTCCAAAGGAAAAACAACTCTTCATACATATTAGTGTATTATCAGTTTTGTTGTGCAGAGACAACAGATTCTGTAATACATACTACGAAAAAAATTGCTTGTCTCTAGTTTGGCGGCATGCAGGCAGTAAATCAACAGACTCTTGTAATGAACATATCATGTCCTGACTGTAAAATCAAGCTACGCAAATATATGAGTTAAATATTAGTTAAATATAAAGTACAATCTCAAATACTTAAATTTACAACCTGTTTTTCTTAAATGTGGCTTTTATTTAATTAGAGGTCTTGTACTGATTCTCTGTTTTGCATCTGAGCTTTCTCTGGAACCATGGCAGGATTAGGAAGAGAGATGGTCACTTACCACAGTTACGTGGGTCAGCCTATCAGGCCTACAGATGTAGCGTGGGCACCTTGGATTCCATGCCCTGCCTCCTCCCCTAGGTGCCCTGTCAGAAGCAGCTCTGCAGGATTCCCCACCCCACCTCATCCTCTGAGCGGGTGCCCTGAGAAGGAGGTGGGGTGCAGAATCTGGGGCACCCATGCTACATCTGTGGCCTTGATCCTCATCTGCCTTCCGACTAACCAGGACCACCTCTGTCTTGTCTGGATTAAGTTTCAGTTTGTTTGCCCTCATTTAGCCCATTACTGATGCCAAGCACTGGTTTAGAGCCAAGACAGATTCCCTGGAATTAGGTGGCAAGGAGAGATAGAGTTGGGTGTCATCCGCATACTGGTGACTCCGAAACCCAAAACTCCAGACAACCTCTCCCAGTGGTTTCATGTTGATGTTAAACAGCATGGATGACGAGACAGAACCCTGAGGAACACCACAGGGCAATGGCCAGGGAGTTGAGCAGGAGTCACCCAGCACCACCTTCTGAGTTCTCCCCTCCAGGAAGGGCTGGAGCCACTGCAAAATAGTGCCTCCCAGCCCCGTCTCAGAGAGACAGCCCAGAAGGATACCATCAGGAGCCACTGCAAAATAGTGCCTCCGAGTCCCGTCCCAGAGAGACAGCCCAGAAGGATACCATGGTCGATGGTACCGAAAGCTATCGAGAGGTCCAGCAGAACCAACATAGACACACTCCCCTTATCCAGCTCCAGGCGTGGGTCATCCATCAAGGTGACCAAAGCTGTCTCTGTCTCATATCCAGGCGGCGTGGGTCATCCATCAAGGTGAGCAAAGCTGTGTCTGTCTCATATCCAGGCCTGAAACCAGATTGAAATGGGTCTAGATAAGACACTTCCTCCAGGAATCCATGGAGCTGAGAAACCACCACGCACTCCAGTACCTTGCCCAGGAATGGGATGTTTGAGACTGGCTGGTAGTTATCCAGTACATTGGGATCCAGGGAGGGCTTCTTCAATAGTGGCCTTATTACTGCCTCCTTTAAGCAAGCAGGGATCCTACCATGCTGCAAGGAGGCATTTGCCATTCTCTCTACCCAATCCGCCATTCCTCCTCTGGCTGCTTTTAGGAGCCAGGAAGGGCAAGGGTCCAGCACACATGTTGTGGCCTTCACCTCTCCAAGAATCCTGCCCGCATCATCAGGCTGCGCCAACTGAAAAGCATCCATTAAAACAGGACAAGCCACAGCCAAAGTTACATTCACTGGGTCTGTACCCATTATAGCATCCAAGTCAGAGTGGATCCAAGCAACTTTATCTACAAAGTGTCGTGCAAGTTCCTCACAGCAGGTTGTGGAGTGGTCAATATTTTGTTCTTTTGGTGGGGCAAATACTAAGCCCCTGACCACTCGAAACAACTCTGCAGGACGACTTTGTGCAGATGCAATGGCAGCAGCAAAGAACCTTTTCTTTGCTGCAGCCACTGCCACGGAACAGATCTTCAAATGGACTCTAGCCCATGTTCGGTTGGATTCCCTCTGAGTTTTCTGCCATCGTCATTTTAGTGTCCATCCCACTTGTTTCATCACTCCCAGCTCCCTGGTGAACTGGGAAGAAGGAAGGTCCGTCCCACTTGTTTCATCACTCGCAGCTCCCTGGTGAACTGGGAAGAAGGAAGCTTCTACATGAGGCGTCTTAAACCTATTTACAAAATGAATAACAAAGTAATTGCTTATAAGCATCATGTTTGAGTTACAAGAATATTCCTACTTAGATAAAAGTACTTACAGCTTGAAGAAGGGACAGGTTGTCCCTCAAGGAAGCCAACACACCCACAAAGGAAACAAGGAACATCAAAATGCCCAGAAGTATCAGAATGATGGCTGGGGCTAAAAAGGCACTTTCGAGGGTTTTATATTTCTGTCTTTCAACTTCTGCATAAATGCCAACCGCTAAGACAAGTCCTCCTATCACCTGCAACAGAAACAGAGAAATTTGTATGTGTCGTTCCTATTACAAAATGAATAGCTATATTTTACTAAAAAAGAAAAGCACAAATCAGCATACATTTTACAGAGCACCGCTCATAGGAATCATACTAGGTGGTGCAGATGAAAAGATCAAATGCAGTATTGCCAACATACTGAATTGCTTGACTGGGCTGATATCCCCAATAATTTTTCTTTTGTATTTTGGCCTCTGCAGGACCTGGGAGAAAGTCTTGCTCCTTCACAGCACTTTCCCTCATTTCTGCCAGGAAGATCTTAGAAAATGACGACAGACAACTGCTTCAGACTAGCGTTATTACTGGGCAACTCATCCTCTCCTTCCACAGGTACTTCCATAATGATTACCTTACAGAAGTACGATTGCAGGGAGAGGTAGCCCTTCATATTGTCCTTGTTCATATCCTGAAATTACCCACTGTAAATTGCCACTAACCAAGCATATCCTGCTAAACCTGAGAAAAGAGTCTGTTCCATCTTGAAATTATTTGAGCTCCGATTCTACCTACGTAAGTTAATGAACCATACCATTTAAACAAGTCGTTGTTTCAGCAATTTGCAGTCCAGTTTTTATTAATTCATTATTGCCATATAGCATTCTTATTTAGTGTGAAAACATAAACACGAATTTCGATCTGTATCAAGCAGGCATATTACTGATTACACAGTGCAGACTTTCTCTCTGCTGAAATGCAGATTTTTCTCTGTTCTTCCAGAGAAAAGAACCAAAACCAGTGGATGAAAATTGCAGGCTAAACATATGAAGCAATGTTCTAACAGTATGAACAGTACAATAGTGGAACAGTGGCCTCTCCTTCGATGAAGATATTCAAGCAATGGCTTGACAAGCAATTCTGCATTTGTTGATCTTTCCAGGATTGTGTTCATGTAATCCAGAAGCCAAGTCTAGCCGTTTGCAAGCATTTTGTTAAGCATCTGGGCACAATAAGAAGCTCAGTCCTGCATTAAAGCAAAATGGATTCTTCCATACTACTGTGACAGAACCTCCTTGCCCACTGGAATGACTTGCCTCCTCCTTTCAATTCAATAGCTGCAGAGGTCTAGAAACCGAATAGGACAGGAGACCCAGGCTGCTATTCCAGTTGCTTTTTCAGCCTCTGCCCAGGCTGTCTAACATGACCACAAGCAGATCAGAGGAGAAGTACGTACTGCTTGTTAGACTACTCACTGCCTAGTTAATTAGTAATGCCGTTAAGTAAAATGAATGGGCAAGGCAAAGAAAACTAAAGTCCTCAGATATTTACTCAGGAGAGAGAATGAAAGAAGAGTTTCAGAAAAACAGGAAAACTTTGAAAGCCTCCATTTTCACTGACAGATGCCAAGAATTAAAATGTAAAGGCCAGTCCCCAAACAAATTAATACCCTTTCAAAGGGCATTAAACAATAACTCAGGAGCATCATGTTCATGTGTTGCTAATTTGCTTCTCTACAAGTAACAACCTGAGGAATCAATTACTTTTAAAAACAACACTCCAAGCTCCAAATAATATCTGGCTCTATTTAGCCCCTGGGAAAATTCTCCAGTGGCGTTTTCAGAACTCCTACCTCTCAGACACAAGAACAAAACCAAACACATACACACTGTTTCAGAATGTCTCCCTTGAATAAACAAGGATAAAAAAAATGAAATCACAAGGTTGAAACAGTGCCTAGTTCTCATTTAATTATTATTAGTTCTCAGATTTTTATTCAACACAAAAGCTGCAAGAAATAATTAAGGATTCTCCATCGTGCACAGTATTCACAACACCTAGGTCCCATCCCCTTGTTTTTTAACCAACCTTAAATTAATTTATTTAATTTATTTGATTTGTGTACTGCCCATCTGGCTACCAAGGCCACTCTGGGTGGTTCACAGCAGAAAAATAAAAACAATAAGGAACAACAACAATTTAAAGTAAAATGTACAGTAGAAAAAATTTTTAAAAAATAAAACATGTTCTAGGCATTATAAATTAGAAACATCATAAGCTAGAACTATAACACAAAAACAAAAAATATAACATAAAAACGCAACATTTAAGAAAAGCAGGCAGCTGAGCTTATAAACTGGATGAGGATAATTTAATAAGGATGCTGGAGATGAGATAATAATGTTAAATGTGTGTGTTGCCTCAATGTCCGTAAGAGCTAGAATACGTATAAACAAATAAAGAACTGGGTATGTATTCTGAAATAACCTTTGGGCCAATTCAACTCATGAGAAACGGGCACGAATTTCTGGTTCAGTGGTTTGCCGCAGTTTGTTTCCTGGCTGAACAGCCGGTCTGCAGTTCAGTGACCCACTCCATCCAGCAGGTGTCCCCTTGGAAGCAGCATCCCGTCCCCCCTCCTCCAGGTGCTGCCTCTGATTGGACGTCTGCTGGAGCAGTGGTCCCCAACCTTGGGCCTCCAGATGTTCTTGGACTACAACTCCCAGAAACCTTCACCACAACCTCTGCTGGGCAGGATTTCCGGGAGCTGAAGTCCAAGAGCATCTGGAGGCCCAAGGTTGGAGACCACTGTACTGGAGGGTGTGGGGCACCAAACCAGAGATCAATTTATTCAGCCCGGAAACAAACCACATTGAACCTCCAAACCAGCAGTTCATAACCAACTCATGCATGGACATAACCGTCCCTTTACAAGGCCTCTTTGCATTACATCTGGCCTACTGCTTCATTCTGAAGCTAGTCACTTTCAACATTCTGAGCTTATGTCAATATGGAAAAGCATAAATAAAGAAGTAGACCATATATTGTATAATAAATTCTTTACTGATCCAAATATGGCACACCTTAGTGGTAGATTCCATGCTCAGAGGTAGAACCACAGCAGTGACTGAAGAGCACATGTTTGCATCTAGAACGTAACATGTTCAATTACCAACATCTTCAGGTAGGAGTGGGAAAGACCCCTGCCTGAAATATTCACAGTCTACTTGGTGTGAGGCAGCTTTCAATGCTTATAGCCTATGTAAAGAGTTCCTTATTTATAAATATCATTTAAGGTCACCACTGTTCAAGCACATTGTGCAAAAACAATGCTTTTGACTAGAAAGAATGAGTGTGCATCTTATATTTATGTTCATGCTGTATTTTTTTACACACTATGCTCTAATTAGAAATCGTGTACATGACCCAGGAACCTATTGTGAATAGGAGATATAAAAAGATTATTAATTATTAAAATAGTACATAAGAAGATTATCTTAAGCTCATAGAGAGGTGTAATAGGATGCAATCACAGTGCTTACTCCTGGGCTATAAGGTCATACTGTACAATCATGTGTTTCTCTTTTCAGGCTGTTCAAGTACATCCGTGTTAAATAAGCAACCAGAGTAATGGAGAAGCAAAACAAACCAGAAACCAACTTTAGTTTCATGGTTAAGAGTATAAGTCATATACTCACATGTGTCAGATCAATCAGTGTCCTAGGGAAGTTCAGGATTCCCATGAAAATAAAGAAAAATATGAATCCTATGTGATATTTCAACCCCACATTTACAAGTTGTAAAATCTCAGCATGACAAGGAGTATGGCTACCGTAAAGCCCCCCCCCCCTTCATCTGGAGAAGACCCAACCACTTCCAACTAAACTTGAGATACAGAAAACCAAGTTAACCAAAACCTTGATTTTTGACATAATGAATAAAACAAACTGATAAGATCTCTGTCCCAACGCAAGAACTGAGCTACCCAATTTAAGAACTGAGCTACTGATAACAAGAAATCTCTTAAACTGATGGCAATAATAAATACACAAACTGATACGATATCTCAACTTGCTTTAGATCAACTATCAATATTTTCCATATATTCTTAATTAAATCCCTTAGTTGCAGGCTGTTGACCTTAAGAAGCAAACATTAATAGGCTTGTGTGACCACCTATATCAGTCCCTTAAGGGTGTTGTTGGGCACGTCCAGATGAAATCACTGATGATGCACAGAATGGGAAACAGTATGGAAATACTTAAGTGCAGGAATCCAAATCAAAGAAGATTCAACAGATGGTTGTTCAATTTTCTCTTGAATGCCTCCAGTATTGGAGCGCTCACAATCTCCTGAGGTACAGTAATTGGTTCCATTGTTGCTCCAACAGTTTAGAAGTTTTTCCTAATATTTTCCTGATATTTTCCTGATACTTGCACTGCTAAGAACTCCAACTGCAATGCAACTTGTAAATGATATTTTAAAAAATATTTTTCTCCCAGTTTAGTGCTAAATGTAGCGCTATAGCACTCGGCTGATAAGCTAATTCAAAAGCTTACCATTTCGGCTAGTCCAGAGTTATTTCCATTGCTAATCGTTCAGGAAAGAAAAAGAAGGACTATGAATGGTGACAAAAAGAGTAGATAAGAAGGGTGGTCATAATGCCAGAGAGGACTGAGGAAGACGTGTGATGTGTGAACACCTGAAACATACATTTGTGGAATGGTAACATTTACAGTACACGCAAACGACAGCAATGGTTTAAATGCCAGAAGGTGGTATAGAAAAGTTTGCATCAATCCCACACAAATCTCTGTGTAGTCACAAACTTACAATGGCAATAGAGAACAGGAAAAGAGCAGAACAAGGGCACGGACCTGTAGTGGTGGACACTAATTTTGAATATACATTCCCGCCATATCAGAGGATAGATGGATTCCTCTTTCTAACATTAAAATGTATTGCCTTTACTTTTAATTCACTTTTAAATTAAATATTACTTTAATTAAAAACTGTTGCACATATAACCAAGTATTTCTGTTGATTTGTGTTCTTAAAGAATTTATCAATCAATAAATCTACCAAACAGTTGAATATATGCAGTTCTTAATAAATACAGCTACAAATTCATAACCACAATGATATCTTCAACTCAATTCATGAAGCACAACAATATTTCAAAAAGCAATTGATACCCAACTTTTCAGGCCATTCAGCTTACTCACTGCTGAACGAGTTCAATACATGCCCAATGAAAGCCACAAACAACACCCTAAAGACACAGGAATCTTCCAGGAAACACATTACATCTGTGGAAGAATCCTCATTTCTTTAGAAACTGGAGAGTTAACAAGCATAAACATGTTCCATCTTCCTTGCTTCATTTCATTTTTTTAAACCAGAAATTTGTAAGGCCACTGATATGTTCTCAGACATTCAAAGTGACATCTTAATAAGAACAAAGTTATTCATAACATGTTAAATTTTTTAGTAATAAAGGCTAGAGTATTTTTTTTCATGTTTTAGTCCTAATGAGGAAACTGTTCCTCGTTTGCTTTTTGCATAACATGTAAAGTTTGCTTCTTATTCCACAAATATTAGTTTGGGAGTTTGGGGCCATTTAGGGGCTTTAAAAAAAAACTATTTTAACTCACAAAAAAGAGAGATGTAAACAAACTGGGCAATTTCCTGTGGGTCAAACTCTCTAGCAAAAATTTAACCCTTTCCCCAAAAAAACACAAAGCACATAGATGCCAAAGCAAGGAGTCACCATAGCGTACCAAAATGATTTTATAAGAATGATCTTGTTAAAATAAAATAGAACAAAAATATTCAATAAAGTATCAAAGGGGGAGTGCAGCATCCCATATCAAAATTTCCTTTTACTGCAGCCCATTCCAAAGCTTGCCTAAATATAAAGATCTTTGCCTGCTGGTAGGACAGCAAAGAACAAGATGGTTGGACAGTGTCATCGAAGCTACCAACATGAATTTGACCAAACTCCGGGAGAAAGTGGAAGACAGGAGGGCCTGGTCCATGGGGTCACGAAGAGTCGGAGACGACGTAATGACAAAACAACAACAAGGAGGACAGCAGAAAGAGGGCCAACCATTAATAGGAATTTTGCTGCATGATGACGTAATGACTAAACAACAACAAGGAGGACAGCAGAAAGACGGCCAACCATTAATAGGAATTTTGCTGCATGAGAGCAGCTAGGGCAAAAAATACTCTTTCCAGATGTGCATATGAAAGTGGGGGGGGGGAACCAAGAGAAGGACCTCCAGTAAAGATGTTAAAGTGTGGATAGTTTCATAGAGAGAGACACATATAGCCTATATCCAAGTTGTAGAGAGTTACATAAGTCTTAATCAATACTTTGAACTGGGACTGGAAATAGACTGGGTAGCTAAGGGAGCTGTTGTAACAGGGCAGGTACATGCACCCTTTAACTAGCCAGTTTGGCTACAACATTTTAGACCAGCTCCAGTTTTTAAACACTCTTCAAAGGCAGTCCCATGTAGAGAAAAATTACAGCAAATGTAACCCAGCTGGGATATAACAATGGGTCACCTTTGCTGATGAATTATCAGTAAACCTGCAAGTTTTTTTGAGCAAACTTAATTACTCGGTCTCTTTGACTGGGATTGGCAAACTTTTTCAATTATTAGTAATACGTTACTATTTCTGTAACTTTTCCAGATATTTTTAAAATTTACAAAGAGTTCATACCTAGGATCTCTTTGCAATTAACACAAAACTAATATGTGTCCTACTAGGTGCTGTCAAGTTGGAACCAAATTATGGCGAACCTAACAGGGCTCTCTAGAGGGACGTGGTGGCACTGTGGGCTAAACCGCAGAAGCCTGTGCTGCAGGGTCAGAAGACCAAGCAGTCGTAACATCAAATCCACACGACGGAGTGAGCGCCCGTCGCTTGTCCCAGCTCCCGCCAACCTAGCGGTTCGAAAGCATGCAAATGCAAGTAGATAAATAGGGACCACCTTGGTGGGAAGGTAACAGCATTCCGTGTCTAAGTCGCACTGGCCATGTGACCACGGAAGATCGTCTTCGGACAAAACGCTGGCTCTATGGCATGGAAACGGGGATGAGCACCGCCCCCTAGAGTCGAACACGACTGGACAAAAATTGTCAAGGGGAACCTTTACCTAACAGGGCTCTCACTGTGAGATCCACTATTTCTTTAGAGGTACCTCAAAGGATCAAACCAAGATCCATTCAGGATGCAATCATATATACTGTACACATTAACCTGTAAATAAGGCTCATTTACTTCAGTGGGAAGGACAGATCCTGAAGCTCAGGCTCCAATACTTTGGCCATCTCATGAGAAGAGAGGACTCCCTGGAAAAGACCCTGATGTTTGGAAAATGTGAAGGCAAGAGGAGAAGGGGACGACAGAGGACGAGATGGATGGACAGTGTCATCCAAGCTACCAACATGAATTTGACCCAACTCCGGGAGGCAGTGGAAAACAGGAGGGCCTGGCATGCTCTGGTCCATGGAGTCACAAAGAGTCAGACATGACTTAACAAACAACAAAAATTCAGTGGGAGTAGGTATGCATGGTCTTCCTCTGTTGATCACCAACAGAACACACACTATCAGTTCCCTTTGAGTTCTTACTTTAGAAACATACTTCCTGCCACAGATTCAGTTCAGCCATAACACCATTCTGGTTTGGCAGTTAGTTATGGCTGACCAGCAAGTAAATCCACTCCTTTTTTTTTCTTGAAACCAAAGTTTGCCAAGATGCTCAACATCTCCTACAAAAACCAAAATGGTTTGTTTGTAGGCTACGATGTGGATGTTTGCCATAACTTGCCAGTCTGGGTGTCACAGTAAAATCAGGTAGCGTATGTGGAGGAAGAAAACCGTTCATGAGAAGAAAAAGATTCCACAAAGGTATGTTCTCATTAATACTGGAACTACTGTACAATAATACTCTACCAGTGCCTCCTTGACAGGGGCTGGACGCAGGCTCTCGTTCAGCAGTGCAGTTCTACCATGATGATGGTGGTAGTGGTGGTGGTGAAGGTCAGTCACTAAGGCTGAATGGTGGGGAATTCAAGACAGTTAAAAGGAAGGATGTAATTCTTCCCACAGCTCATTAATTTTGGGATTTGCTACTGCAGCATGAAATGAGGTCCTGAAAGAAAACAAGGCAGGCGTGCCATACTCTGATTAACAGGAGTATTTACTTTTCCTGCCTTGCTCTACCCATGTCGAGAATGTCTGGACTCCCATTAATCTGTCAGGTTGAAAATTTTACATTGGCATTTCCCATATAATAATTATGCTGAACTCCTGCAAGGACGCTTTCCCTTTTTTGTTTAGGTTCAGGTTACTTCTGCTTTAAACACAAGTGCCAACAAGCCCTTTAAAATTAAAGGGGGGGGAACCCCTTCAGGGCACGATGTTGATGAACGACCAGAAAGGATTCAATTTGTGCTACAAGAGGGATTACACCGTGAAACGAACGAGCCCGGGGATTCAGCGCACCAGCCTCCAAGAGCTCAGCTTTCCAGCCCTCACAGTGACGGGGCGTGTTTCCTTCCTTCTGGTTGCAAAAAGCCTCTGCCCGTCGCTCCTTCCTCACCCCAGAAACCGCAACCACCTGCTGTCGACAGGTTGTCCCGGTTCTGGACGCGGGCGTGTCCTAATCCAGGAAACATTCCCCCGAGGTCTCCCGTCTTCCTCGTCTTTCTACTCCTGGGTTTACCCAGCTTGGAGACGAGGTGGATGGAGGGGTGGGGGGGTCCCTTCGGGCGACGCCTTCTCGGAAAGGGGTGCCGCAGCCCGGGCCGTGATCCCCCGCGCCAACCCTGTCGCCTCCGTTCCCCCTTCGGGCCCTTCTTCGTCC